ACAAGTTTAGCTTTCAGAATGTCTTTCGGTTTATTACATCCCAAGGAAACAATATATTATTACCATTAGCACGTTTAACTTTCGTTTGAACTTCAGTCATTCCTGTTGAAGGTCGTTCAGCTGAGGCTTATAGAAAATCAGTCGTGCTCATAAATGAAAATTTGTGATACTAATGTTTATTTTCGTACAGCAAACAACAAACTTATAAGTAAGTCACCTATACAAACTCAACAAATCATTAGACGTTCTAACGAAGGTTCTAACTTCAGAAACACATGAATCACTCAAAGAATAAAATACATTCTCTTTTGAGACGCATTAACATAAAATTCTTATTATGCTTACTGATCAGAGATCCACCCAACTGGAAGGAATTAACTGATAGTCTTCGGTATCTATTCATTCATAGTAGCTATTGACTGTCTAAGTAAATTTGATTGATTCAAATATGTACTTTTACAAATTATACAGTAGATTCGTTGACTACTTTGGTTTGCTGAAAGCATTCAGCTGAATTTCCTACAGGCAAAGATGATGTATACACAATTTACAGAAATATAAATTTAGTAATCCTGTGACCAGAAAATTACAATCGGATTAAGATAAGCAGTGAATGTAACATTATTCAGAAAAACAGTATGAAAAACTATCAAATCTTGTGTCAATAATCAAGAACTCTCAACTGAAAACTAGGAGTCAAATTTTACGTTAATATCGATTAAACATTTGAACTGTTACCAAACACCTTTTCAGAATTAAGATGTAATTCTATATGAATGTACTCAAGGGTTTGTCATTACTTATTTCATTACCAGACAGATAAATAGATATAAAACTACTATATACCTCTATTTTTCAAATCAAATGCTAAGACGAACTCTTTTCTACATGCATAATGAATGTATGAGCATCAGACATTTCACGAGACTGAGATCTTTTGCCAAAATTGAACAGGTTTTCCCCTGATATAAAATAAAATTGAGAACCCTACTTAAAATGCAATTTGTATTAGATTTTCTTCCTCGATACACCACACACCATCGAAAAAATGTTTCTAAATCACTCTGTTCCACTTTGACTTCAAATATATTACTTACTTATTCTTTCTGGGGTGATATTCATAGCAGAGTGTTGCAGGCAACTGATTTGTAGTCCTTAGAAGTAACCTAAATCTACATCTCAAGTCCTAAATGAAATAAAAATAACTGGAATATTTGTTCTGGTAGTGAATTTTCATTGATATCAGGTGGTTAAAGAAAATCAGTAAGAAGCTCTGAATCCGCTATTTTATGATATTTCGTCAGTCTGAATGAATAATATGACACCGATTTGTTAAGTGACTTAAAAATGCGTCTGATCGATGCTACAGGAAAACCTTAGTGACAACGGTTTTGGGTGCTGTACTAGATTATCATGAAGTTCAATCTGTGACTTGGCACCAATCCCTTCAGAGTTGAAGACACCTGTTTCCAAACAATCATGACAGATATGGTTTAAAACTACGTCTTCATGTTGATTGCTTATAAACACCTTAATAAATCTATTCAGAACTTTCATTTTCACACTGTATTTCTGTTAGAAGTCTCGTATTCAAAGTGACGAAATCATATTTTTGAACAGTATTTTTACATATATTCATTTTGCAGTTTTTAACAGTCTATTGGTTAGTATAGAGAAAACGTAATCATCTGGAGGATAACACTTTCCACATTTCAACCAAAGTGAATAAATTGCCTACTGCTACAAAAAATTTAGATGTTGAAACGACTGCCTTACTATTATGGACTGCACAGAAAAGTGATGAGATATCTTATTTCGTATAATTTATGAAAATGTAATAAAGCAGCGATTGTAATGAAAGTAATGTGAATAAGTTAGGTATGAAAGGTTTGGGATGATACCCTACATAAAACTTCATAGAGGTAAAGAAGCATTTTGAGGGTTACTAACTATCCTATTTAACGTTCTTATTCACCTAGTATCTTTCGATTTAGATAGTCAGTGGTCATGGCAAGATTCAAAATGAAAAAGGTTTGTTGACAGATGTTTTGAATTGATTCAAAAAAGCACTAAACACAGGTCACTTGCTTCTTGGTACTTTTCGTCCAAGCATGTATGCAGCCATGTGGTAACCAATCCCTCAATGATTCGAAATGACACAAGCGAATGTAAAATTTGAACAGTTCATCGATAAGGTATTCGGGTTACATGTACGAATAATATGGGTTGATTTCAGCTTTTCCAAGTAATATGGAAGTAAAACCACTAAATTTCACATCGATAAGTTGTTTTAAGCACTAACAAATTTGAAGGACAAATATTCTTTTTAAAGTAAGATGTCAAGGAATGTCATAAGCATGTCCTATGAGATTTATCACTAACTCCAATACATTTGTGATAGAGAAGATAGTAGTGTAAGAAAAACTAACATGCATTTATGCTCATGCTTTAGAGCAAATGGTAATTTTTTTATGAAACGAAGCGCTGCATGCTAAAGTTGTGTCAACAAATGCTATTATTTTACAGTCAATATATGTATGTACACGTGTGTTATCAAATGCTATCGAGAAAGCTGATCTTCGTAAATACATTTTCAGAGAGAATATTCATTTATTGGGCTCTGGCCACTAGGGCAAAATAAAATCGGAAATATTGAAACCAGATGAACTTCATCTACACTTGCAAAATCCTTATTAGCTTGTGGCCGGATAAATTTCCATAATTTCATATAAATAATAAATTGACCAAAAACTATAAAAAACTCTTATTTGAATAAATAAGTCAAAATATTTGACACAACTAAGGCACTTTATATTTTGTGACTAATTTCATGTTATTTATTTGCTGTAAGCTGTAAGTTGAGACCATAAGTTGAATTTGCTGCTTTGTCCGCTTTGGAAATGTTATAACCCTATCACCACTTGTCATATTCTTATAGTGACTACTTGATGCAAATCGTATAATCTATGGATGCGGAGGCTTGAACAGTAATCTTCAGATTTCGCCCATTGATGGTCGCTCAGTTTTTCTCGACAAATGGAAACAGCGATAATATAACAAAGGTGTATTGCAAAGTCAAAAAGTATATACAAAATACAAGGGTTTAAATATGTTAACAATGACTTTGTTATTCAGACCCTTCTAGTTATGAATCATTTTGATTTTTATCTCTTTACCCAATCTGGTATTCACACTGTGGTTCACCTGCTTCGTCCCGAAGCTTCGGAGAAAAACCATTGGTTGTAACAGGCTTCAGGTATTTAAGGCTTCTTATGAAGATTTTGTCAATCTTACTGCACACTTTAACAGAAATCTAAAATATTTGGTTCAGATATATGATCGACTGTAAAAAAGCTAATGACGTCAAAACTACCAGATGGAAAGTTGTACAGCACGTACTACTGACTGAGATGAGAAGTTGAAATGTAGGAGTGATAAATATTGAACCTTTAATGTTAGTCAGAAAAGCGCATTGTACAACCTTTACAAATGCACATATAACGTAACTTTCTTAAATGAGCTACCTATACTTCGTTTCTTTTGGAGAGCTTATCTCGGTTTCGAATAATTTTCACAAATTTTAGAAATTAAACAAGCAACTAAGAAGGTAGAGATTTAGTTGTGTTGATGCTTCGAAACAGAACTGTTGTAACTCAGTTTCTCATAAAGTTCCGCCTATACATGAAGAGATCACATAATTATTGCTGAAATTTACGTCATTTTATAGTCTTGAGAAGAAACAACTTTAGGTCAAGCAAGCTTAAAATAATCAGTTTATTTAAGCACTGCTAGAAAAATCCTCTTCTTTTGGTCCCAATCATCATTCAGAATTTCAGGTTTCTTTTTCATGTTCTTTTAAGTGAGCATTAGTTATCACTGGTGGTGAAAATACTATTCACCTTCCAATTCCACTGATGTGATATACCAAAAAGTTAGGTCCTTTAAAATTTGTTTTCCTTGTAGCTCAAAGATACACGCAGTTGGATTTGAGTGAAAAAATTTGCAAAATGTTCATAATATACCCTGAAAGCAACGATTTTGTAACGTGATGGACGCATTAAAATTGTCACCATATGTAAGTATATCATATAGAAGGTCACAATACACATGTGCGCTGTATGCTCTGCATTATAATGATCAGCAAAACTTGTTTAATCTACTGTCACAGATGTTCTGACTCCATAATATGTTAATTAGGGTGCATGTTTTGTTGTTATATTTCAACGGTTTCGCAAGAGATGAAGTTAGATAAGGCACGAGTTTGGAACACTTGGCTTGTAACTAGAAGTGTAGTAAATGCTGCTTGCGTTATAATAGTCATTATGAGACTGACTTAAAATGGATTATCGCTCAAGACTTTTGTTATATCTACACTACTTGAATTAAAGCCTAAGTTGTAATGGGAACTTTTACTAAAGTAGGAAAACAAAAAGTCTTTTGTCAGTCTCTAAATCGTCTGATAGTCATTATCTGAAAACACGTAGTGAAAATATCCATTTCCTATTTTCCCACTGGGGTTTTACGATAATCAGTCACCAAGAAATAACAGTAAATCAAGAATTAGAGATCCTCAAAAAGTTCAATTTTTCACTCCTAAAAACGTGAAAAAGGCTTCTTTTTGTTCATAGCATCTAAAATTGTTTTGCTAAGGTTATTTATTTTTCAGATCATTAACTTCCCCATGACGAAATACTACATTCATTAAATAGTCTATATCACTTTGAAATGTAATTCATCAACTGCGAAAGATTTCATTCACCAAACAATAAAAACAGTTTATCACTAACTCTCCAGTCACTTTAATATAGTACTTTAAGTTCAATATCCTGTCGCTAGTTTGTACACCTTCATAACTTCAAAACCTACATAAGCAAAGATTTATGCTAAACGTTACATAATATTCAAAATATTGTTTTGTCTTCTAATTAACAGTAATAGGAATATGATCACTAAAGATAAGTTTAAATTAAAGAAATTAAACATCCCTTCTTAGCAATTACTTCATGATCCACGGCTGCTTATCTTCAAACTGTATTGTATGAAGATTTGCAAACTGTATTCAGACTCATACTTATCACAACTCAGTTGTTGATTATTTTCCAATATACTTGAGTAAACGAATGAAATAATATTTGTGAAATTCTTGTCATCATTCTCATTATTTACAATGTAAAGAATATTGCGGAAAAAGGTATTACAATCTTGATCTTCTCAGAGACATTCGTACATATTTCAGTTAGTATAGTGAATGTACAAAATAAGACGCATCACGATTCCATGACTGAAGTCTGGGTTGTGTAGGCCGCACTTAAACTTAGACGATTAACTGCTGATTTTGGTTCCGGTCGTGTTATTTTTATAGGGCAACTGTTACCTTTCATCAAAAACTGCTCACTTTCTTTATCGACAGACGCCAGATCACGTCTTAGTGAATTCATGTACTGAGTTGAATGGACAGTTAATTTTCGTTGATCTTTGTGCTTCCTGCATTTATTTATGGCATTCCGAAACATATCTTTCAGTTGTGAACGAAACCTTCTACCAAGAAATACGTAAACAAAAAAATTGACACCACTGTTTAAACAAACCAAAGCATTTGTAACAGGACGTATAATCTCAATTAAGCTTCTGTGATTTATTAAATGGATTATTTGATACCCAACAGCTGGTAATTCACATACTAAATAAATAATAATCACTCCCACACACAAACGATTTACTTCCATAGTACGCGAACGATTTGATTTTGAGATGCGCACGAAATAAGCATGATTTTCTGAGGAGCTTGGTGCTGAGTGAAGATATTTAGGCATGTTAGGATGATGACGATGCTGTTGTTGGGGATTTTGATGATGACAATCTCTGTGTAAAGAATGAAAACTGCATTGTTCAAATTGCCGGTTAGCACAGTCAATTCTAGCAACAATTTGAGCTCTTCTCTGATTAGCATACTTAATTCCTCGAATCAGCAGTACATTGAAAATGGCAATAATCACATTTGGTAAGATGACAATTAAAATTGTGTAACCAATTAAACGATAGATAAGTTTAAATGCATAATTATCATTAACCCATGGTCTGATAGCACTATGATAAACTAAGATGCCAGTAGGTAAAGTTGTAGAGTTGAAATGAGTAGACTGATAAATGTCTGATTTATTGTCTGCGTCAGAATAACACAATAGTGGCATTGCATCAACAATGAAAAAGTGTGGAATGTTATAAAGGAATGATAATACCACGATTAGCGTAATTGCAATGTGTGCCTTCTTACGCGTACATATACTTGGTGCATGAAGGGGTCTGCACACAGCTACCCAGCGCTCTAATGAAACAAGGACAACAGTCCAGTTTCGCATCATTCTTACTGCCATTCCAGAGCCGTATAGTACTTTACTTGTATGGGCATAAAAGTTTATATATGACAACCATAAAATGTAGAAAGACAAAGTTTTCAGAAATTGGAAAAATAAGCATAAAATCAAAAATAATGTGTCAAATACAGCTAAGCTGGTCAATATTAAACTGGTTGTTCCATGAGATCGATCACGTGCCAAGACGAATCCACTTAACACATTGCCGGTAATTCCAGCAAGCAGTATACAACCAACTAGAAATACATCGAATGCTACGTTGTAAAGCATAATCCAATGCGGTTTAAAAAGACCTGGCATATGTCCAATGTCTTTGATTATATATGTATTATTTTCTGATTTTGAGATTACTTCAGCACAATTTGACAAAAGTTTCCACAAATCGTCCTCATTTAAATCATCTGGATTTAAAAAATTAGTTTCATTAGAAATTTCCATTTTATTGTGACGATTAGCCTCTTGAACTCATATCAGAAAAATTCGGTTTCTAGGAATTAAAAATTATATTCGAATACTGGACTGTAGTGACGTTTTATAACACTAGGAATAGTGATTTGCTACCCTGAAATGATTGGCTAAACTAACAACCAATCAACAATATTCTAGTGGAAATTTCGGTTAAGCCAATGTTTAGAGACGTCTTCCTACAACTTCGTTTTTTTCCCTCGCTTCGGAAACAGTTCAGTAGAAAGCAATAAGATGATGAAACTTTCTGGCCATGAAATACAGGACAATCTTGACCCGTTTTTACAAGCAAAATCACGTGTGACGCAAGAAATAATGCTTAGGATACTTTTCTATTTTTCACCTTCTACTGAAATAATGTTTGAAGTGTATAAACAATCTGTAACAAAGATTTACAGTTCTAATATAAAAAGATAATAACTTCTGCAGTTTTAAATAACTGTTGACGATTTCAGATGTGAACTAAACACTTGTTTTGGGTACTTTCAGCATTAGAGACAACTTCGTATTTCTAGTCTCACTTGTCATTTACCTGTGTGTTAATTTACATAATAGCAGTTACCTATTAAAAGATAATGTGAGGAAAACAAATATTCAGAAAACAAACCTCTTCACGTATACTTTAGTACTAAAAAAGATACATGTTACACTGTCAGCAGGACTAAAACAGTGAATTTTATTCATAATTTACAATTTTCATTGGTTTAACAACGCGCCACAATTCTGCTACAGTCACTTCATTGTCCAATCCATGTAAAGCCTCTACATATTGAAAATAAGCGAAAACGGAGAAAAAAACTATTAGTATACCGATTATTTTTATTGGGACACTGGCTTGCACAAATGCTTATTACTCTATCTGTATATGAATGTGATTGGTAGAAATTACAAAATAACAAACTGTACAGTCTTTCAAAGTCTACAAACTTACTCAAATAATAATTATCTGACTGTTAATTGCTGCACTACAATACTCACAAGATAATTTCCAAAGTACTCCCTGGTAGTTTGAGCACCTATTTACAGCTGCAATAATTACTTACTTCTCAAGTACGCAGCATCATCAAAAAACTAGTTTCTACCTAGTATCAATAATCTTGAAAACTTTCGTGTAAAAAGGTTTGCTTGAACTGGAATAAAAAAAATGTCATTGTAGTTGTGCACCTAGTTTAAGATAAGATTTTCAAATTATGCAGAGAGAAAGCGTATTGTAAGGGTGATTTACTCGATGAATTAAAACTTATTTGGTCAAAGTAAACTACCATCTGTATGAGTATCGTAAGCTTCATTAGTAATGTAGTATATCACTTTTTATGCAATACACCTGACTGTACTAGTCATTAAAATGTAAACTGACACCAAGTACATAGAGGTGGATAAGAACAATAAGAGATTTAATTTATCAGTGTTCGACTTCTCTCTCAAGATAACTTTTGGAATTTTACTTTCTCCTTTCCCTTACATTATAAACAAAGTCAGTTAAGAACAAATTGTTTCACGAAGATCCTCATTTCACACATTGGAAAACCTTACTGCAGAGTTCATTTCAGTCAGAAGATATAAAACGGTCACCACCAGTGTGCTAGCTAGAAAGACAGAGGTACTTAAATTTAGAACACCGTAATATAACCTTGTGCATTTTTATTTCCTATCAAAATCAAGTGAGTGTATATATTAGAGTCATGCATATTGTATTGAAGTTTGACATATTCCAACGAATTTCAAATATCCAAACATTCTTCTTTGTGTAATTTATTACAAATGAGAACACTGGGAACTTATGACCTGAAGGCATAATATTCAGCTGCAAAAGTCTCTATCAAATGTTCGCCATTATTAGCAATAGTTTCGACAATTTTTAACTACTTATTTTCGAGCAAGAAACAAAAATAAAACTCTAAACCCAACTTTCCATGTCGTATTGACAACAACTTATCATCCACATTCATTATACCTCCTTTTTACATTAACATCTATGATTTAAATGACAGTGACAATAATACTAATAGACCGTTAACGTTTTCAGACATCGTTCCTGCTTACTGATTGTCATTTGAATAGGCAATTTTTAAAGGTAGTTAAAAACTGTTTTTTTGTCATCCAGGTCAACTAAGACAATAGTGAAAAAACCCTCATTTTATATATTTAACACAAAACTATGCGAAATTTATGGCGAATTTCGACTAACAATGAACTTCAAATGTCATTTTGCTACAAGGTGAAATTAAAGAATTATACATCAATTGCATTTACTAAGTGCTTTTTTAAACATCTTATTTACCCATAAGTTTTACCTGACTACATTCAGCTTAACAAAACATATACGAAGCGTTATTTTAGTAATTAAAAAAATACACTAGATCATTTCTGTAATGAAGTTTTATTTGCTTGGATTATCAAAGAAAGGGGAACAATGGATTACCTGCAATTCCATCTATGACCAGAGTATTGCTCAATTTTGATATTTTCACTTCAACTTCGTACACAATCATATCGGTAAAAATATTTCTCACACATTCAAGACAAAAATTAATATATCAATGAAAATTTTGTGCATTATGCAATGAGTTAATGTATTATAAACCAACATTTTAACGATTGTCTGCAAATGTTTCATTAAAAAATTATAAATAAAAAATCCATTTCAGTCAAAATGAGAAGTATTACACAATCCGTTTTGAGCGAAAATGCCATCAACAGCTATCATTAGCATATATTCTAAATGAAAACTTCAGTAATTAGTATTTAACCTAAAAGTGATACCTCTTAGTTTATTTATTATGTGCTTAATCTACAGGCTTTGGTCCCATATATGTGGTATTTCATACTATTTACAGCTGACCAACATAATTAGCTGGATGCTCTGCATTTCAGTTCGCATGATTTCACAGTTAGTTAAATAATACACACTACCTGTACTAGCTTTAAGTGATCATCAGCTGTGTAGTCAAATGAATCTGACTCAAAAAGTTAACTCTGGATGATTAGTCAACTAGATAGTGGATAACCCGTTCATGAATGGTCACAAACTGTGTGGTTCATACTGATATTCCTGACAGTCCATATTTCAGGTTAATGTACATCATAAATGTGGGTTAACCAATCACATTTTCTTTTTTCTAACTAAGGAGCTATTTTAAAGTTCACGAACCAACAAAATACAGTAGACATCTAGCCGTGGAGTGAGCGAAAACTGCAAAAACTATTCCGTGTTGTGCTGGTATGTTACCTGAAACATTTACTAAAACCTATCATCATTGACGGTAAATCCTCGATGTTCAACTGGATAAACACCGAAATTTAGTTGTGATTACTAATAATCATCAGTGTTTGTCGTTACTATATGCGGTTTCTTTTTTCCGTTTAGTTGTGATGACATCATCATAACATTCTTTTGTTGGCTGAAGATTTGACTCTTCTGTGGAATATGTATTCAGAAGATAGAGTATTTGATTAATCTTTTTCTGAACTACTTTGTTACTGAAATGTAAGAACACTTTTTACAATACATATAGTCGGAAATTTCTGGTTACCAAGTGCTGTGAAGTATACTTTTGAGCACCTGTGAATGTTTGGTCTCAGTTTCTCAAAGTAACATTCAGGCCAGTTAAATAATTGTTCTCATATAGGTTGGTTAAGCTAGTACTTAATGCAGCTGATATGGAAATGAATTATAATATGGTATTTACCGAGTAGACAAAACTTTATCTAATAAGTTAGGAAATGCATCATGCTTAAAATTTAATTAAAGTTAATCAAGGAGGTCTATCCGGTCAACAACTGTCTTGATAGTGAACATTTTTCAGCGTCTTTTGCGAAAACTTGTGAGACATTTCACCTGTAAAATATCTTGCAAACCAATGTTGAAATGAGCTTTTGCTTCTTCATAAGGTAACTGGGATACACGTGGCATTCAGTGACCAAAATAAGAAAGTGAGATATCCTATGCGGTCCCAATCAAATGATTTCATATAAAATGCAAAGTATTCCGCTTTCATAGGTGACTACAAAGTGTATTTTAGAACAAGACACAAAGAAAAGCGTTATCCGCTAAGGCAGAAATATGAACTGATGTATACCAAACACTTGTCAACGGGTATATTTCCTTACTGTATAACAAACATAGAGTTTGAAGTTCTCCTTAAAGAACAAATTCTCGTTATTAACCTTGTGATGAGGTTCTTCGCTTGGCAACCATGTTCTTTGTGTCTACCTCATGAAAATTTTGTGCACCCATGAGGTTAGGCTCAGCAGCATGGGAACTCAAATGATGTCAGTTGCCTTCTCCCAACCTGAGTACTTTCGAATTACAAGTTTCCATAGACTGACCCTGACAGAAACACAAGTAGATCGTCACAACGTCACTAGAGTTTTTCACAGATTGGTGACGTTTTGGTTCCAATTATTCTACAGGACCCACTGAAATCCATTTAGATGTAACAGAAAGACCCAGAAATGACCTTCAGTTGTAACTCTTCCAGAGGAAAAAAGTAGCCGACGGAAGGTACATTAACCGTCTAATGTGCGCCATGAATAATAGCTCAGGAAGTTGGTGGATAAGTTTTCCAAAATACTGAAGCCTTATCAACTAAACAAGTTAGTTCACATGATGAGAATGTTGATCAGGAAAAGGGGCTAAAGTGTCAGCAAGAACAAGAGGAATGTATGATTGTCTCTCAAAAGTGTACATTGTATAATGGCAGCGCATATCTGACAGGCATCGTAGACTAGTCATAAACACAATATGGAGGAACATAGTACCTATTATATATTAAGTTGATAGGATTTGTTTTTTTCAACGATAACGATTATTTGAAAATTTTTTGGCTCGTCACAAAATGGTTTCAGGTACGCTTCGAATACATTTATGCACATAAGATAGGTGGGTGACACTAAACAGTTGTTGTTTCACCTTTCAAGATAGTTAAGATATGACGTAAATTTCTGACGAATTAGGGCATTAGTTTTGAATGGTAGGACGTAACCCAGTATATACGATCGATTGTAAGTGGGTCCTTATAAACGTAGACAACACATTTAGATTTATTTTATCATATCGTTTTAGGCTCAAATGTACACCAACCAACAAGCACCGTATGCTTCA